AACTTCCTGGGGGGGGGGGGGGGGGGGCGTACTCATTTGTTGCTTGCCGTAGTCATTTGATCATTGACCACGCGTCCCTTTCGAGACGGAGCACCGTTCCTACACCTACTAGAGACACCACCAACATTTGGGAGCTCTTTACGTTTCTGCCACAAACTCCATAAAAATTTCTTGCACATCTTATCCCCGTCCTCTAGGGCCTCTTGTGCCCACCATCTATCCCCAATTATCGCGATCGTTTTTTCGCTGTTGTCTAATTTACCAAACTTGTCCATGTCACACCCTCTCTGTCTCATTTCCTCCTCGAGATCCTCTCTTTCCTTCCTGTACAACTCACACTCCCCAACTATGTGGGGTCTACTCTCCTCCGATTTGCCACATGGACATGTGTGTCTATCCTCCTCTTCCTCTCTCCTACGGCTGGTATACCTCTTCCTCCGTTCTGGCAAGTCCAGATCGCCTACTCGAAATTGCAATTTCAGCTTTTTCGCATAGTCCATGGGGCCGTCCAAGTACTTCTTCATCCCTATCCCTTCTTTCAACTTCCCGTATATCTCCAAGTGGTCTTCGCTTCGTACCTTCTTCCGAAGGGTTGTCTCCTCCCTACTCTCTAGCATTTCCTTGACTTTCGTCTTGAACCCCCCGAACCCTTCCGTGTCCAACGTCTCCTCCTCGTCTCCTATCTCCTTCCAAACCTTCTCTACCACCTTGTCCCATCTGATTCCCTTCTTCCCTGGAGTCGCTTTTCCCCAAGCTGCCTCGTCAACCATGGCTGGTAGTCTATCGTCCGACATTCTACTTACCTTGTACTGCCACTTCAACTTCTGCATGTCTCTCTTTGTTTTAAGAGAGTACATTCCCAATTCTGCTCTCAATACAGTGTTGCTCGTTGTACTTGAACATCCTAGTATTTTCTTGGCCGCTGCCATCTGCACCGTTTCCAGCTGCTTGACGGTCTTTTCGTTACCTTCCCATATCTCTCCTGCATACTCTAGCTTAGGTACAATCACCTTCAAGAGAATACACCTCTTAATCCTAGTGTCTAGGTGTGGGTCCGTAAGGATCTCATCCATCTTGCCTATCTGAGCTTTACCCTTCCCAATCAACTTCGCTATGTGTGCGTCCCATGAGCACTCCTTCGAAATCTCTACTCCCAGGTACGTATACTTGTCTACTACCGGTAGTTCTTCCTCCCCCCATTTCCATTTGAATTCTACGGGATTTTTCTTATCTTCGTTACAGACCACTACTGCGCATTTTCCTACGTTCGCCGACAGTCTCCATTTTCGGGTGTATCCTACCGCCGCATCTATTTGTTCTTGCAACCCTTCTGGTGTTTCGGATACCCCCACGAAATCATCTGCAAACATCAGTCCGGACACACTCTTTCCCTCTACTTGGACTCCCTGTCTTACTGCTTCAACCGCCCTTATCAAATCGTTGA